CTAATAATAATTGTGGACACATATATATCTTGTCATTCCATTTTTAACTAAATTAATACATTGTTTTTATAATAAAGCTTTTGTTATTTGAATACTATTCATATAACTCAGTTCCGTTGGTTTCCATTCGAAAAAGACAAGTTATATTATCACTGATTTATGAGTGAGTATAGAGGAAAGTATCGTGAATAAGACAATGATCAATATAACTGGTTTCGATTAAACGTAATAATGTCAATTTAAGACAAGGACAAATAAAGAAATATAAAAAAATTAGTTAAACTATGTAGAGAGTAAGTCAATTTAAATTTAATAGCGTCAACAGTAATAGAAGAAACATAGGAAGGACACATTTCGATACGGTGTGCAAAAGACAAATGTCCGTCGAGAAGAATATTGGAAAGACCGACAGAAAAGCAAAGTCTCATACGATTGATGTGCAGAGAATTCAAAGATTATCAAATCGTACATCCTTCACTACTACTCGAAACAGATAAAATAAATGCTATCGATAATGCGAGTGAGGGCACCGTCACCCACCCACTAGATAAATCATTGATTATGACTAAAGTTTTTTTTTGCATAGGATGTTGCATGGCATTGTAAACATCCGTCAATATTTGGTTCTGTAGGTGATGATCAAAAATTGATGATGTAAGTATTTCCTTATGTTTATATAATTTATTTTTTTTTTGAATTTCATTTTAAAGTTGGGATACAAGATCAAATAATTATGCTAAAGCTAGTCATATAGTTGATGCACATTCAGCTGAAGTTAATTGTGTAATTAATAATTATTTAATTTATTTTTGATAGATTTATTTATTTATTTATTCTAGCTTGCTTTTAATCCATTTTCGGAATATATTCTTATAACTGGTTCAGCTGATCGAACAGTTGCTTTATGGGATTTAAGAAATTTAAAAATAAAAATAGCTACATTTGAATCTCATAAAGATGAAATTTTTCAAGTAAATGAAAATATTAAGAAAAAAAAATTAAATTTTTCTTTTTTTTACTTCTTCTTTAGACACATTGGTCATCTCAAAATGAAACTATTTTTGCATCAAGTGGTTCAGATCGACGACTTCATATATGGGATTTAAGGTAAATATTTAAAATTGAAGGTTTTTTTTGTTTTTGTTTTATGTCATATTTAATAATATTAAAAAAAATATTTAGTCGAATTAATCAACCACAAACACCAGCTGAAGCTGAAGATGGTCCACCTGAACTTTTAGTAAAAAAAATTTATTTATTTATTTATTATTTTAATCATGTTTATTCATTTTAGTTTATTCATGGTGGTCATGCAGCTAAAATTTCTGATTTTTCATGGAATCCAAATGAACCATTTGTTATATGTTCTGTATCGGAAGATAATATGGCACAAGTTTGGCAAATTGTAAAATTTATATATGATTAAAAACAAAAACAAA